GTTCACACTTACATTGTGAAAATAGTGTGTGAAAGTGGCAGTTATGTTTTGTACAATGGAAACTGTAGTCATTTGAGGCATATAGTACCTTCTGCTGACATGTTATCAACTGCTTACATGTTGTTTCATTTTTATTGATGGCTATTTTGTCATACCAGGCTGTCTTGGGATATTATAGCGTGTGTTGTTATAGACACTGACAATCATTATGTTTGTTAACCTCATTTAATGTGAAATGTAATGCAGATGCTTTTTCTAATGCAATCTACAAATTCAGACTAATGGATTCAATTAAAATATGGGATGTACAACAATTGAGTCAAAACATTAGTAAAATGACTCAAAAACAATTATAATTAAAAGTATCAGAAAACAATAGGTCACTAATTCACTGTAATTCTTCTGCCCATGCACTTATTAACTGCTGCAATCCACCCACTCTATGATATTGGTTTTAGACCATTATATATATATATAACTCTTTATTTTATTTTTCATTGAAAGAGAGTAAGTATTTATTTGCAATACATGTTGCTACTTAAAATAAAATGACCTAAATTTGTCCCCTTCACTTCATACCTTTAGGTCAGGGTGTAACTTGGCCACAGAATCCCCAAGTGTCAATAAAAAGGTATCTTTCATGGTTGTAAAATCCAATATATGTGTGTCAGAGTCCAGCAAGAAATAAGTCCTGACACCAGGAGAAAGTGGAGAATAAGCCTAGCTGTCAGTATCTCTTTTAAGGATAGTTGGTTGGTGCTGTCGGAACCCTGTTGTGCAGAAGCCTCCTGGATGCTCTTCAGGGATATGCATTTGACATATGCTAGTAAAGGGTGAAAATGCTGGATGAATGCCGTTGTAGGAGGTCCAGAGGCTATGCTTTAAAATAGCCCTATTTGTTCTTTCCTCACCTACCTTTAAAGCACTATCGACCCCAATTGTTTTCATGGATACTGCATGCGTTTTTCTATGTTTAGAGTACATGAGTGAGTACATGATAGTCCACCATACAAGCATTCTGTATACACACACCTTCTCCCATGAGTGATCATTGACAATGACTTTTTTGTAGGCATGCTGTACATGTTATTCCCACTCTATAGAGACCACATTATGAAACAGGCTTCAGGGACTGTACTTATCGTCAACCTTTTCACGCTCTTATAAAAGATTCATGGCACTGCTTGTTTTGCTGCGGCAACGCAAGCTGCAGGTGAACTGCCACTGAGAGGCAAATGGTGGCCTGAATAATACAAATACCCTGGTTGCTTTCCATTGCTAAATAATGAAGTGGAATTACACTGGATGCAAGAAACCTGTGCATTAATATAGATCTACAATTGAGTAGATAAAAGTCAGTTTACTCTCCCCACGTATACATAACAATCATACATCAACAATTGGTTTAAAGAATGGCCCTTGCTAATCTGAAGCTTCAAATCAGCATATTGTTCACATGAATTGGCTAGACAGTGATTTATCAATTGTTACAGTCAGCATTGATTCGCTATTGACTTAGAATTTAATAGGAAGTGGCTGCGGGTTGACAGTATTACATTGTCATGTTAATTTAATGATAATATGACAGACTTCAAATTGAGCATAATGGAGGTGCTGAAGCTGAGCTAAAGAAAATATTACCAGCCAATTCTGTGAGAGATTCCATGCACTGAATGCTAAACAAATTTACCTGACACTGGTAAAATTATGTTAAAATGGTTGATAGAGTGTCACTACTGCTAAGCTACTAAGGAGGGATCGTTTGCAGTGAGCTGCTGCTCTGTTCAATGTTGTGCATGAAAACAAACAAAGCACATGTGGGGCAAAATACATACCATCTGAGATGATTCCAATCATCTATTTTACCTCATATGAATTATTGATTAGACTGAGACGAGAACACAGACAATAGCAAGTCAATATTTAATCAAGGACCCAGCCTTTCTCTACTGATGAGGGAAACATATGTCTTCATTATTATTGCACTGGAGCCAGCCTCTTCGTTTGGGCTGCGTTTCATCGCACTTAAAGCAAATTACAAAAGGGAACTTATTTTATTATACCTTTTCTGAATTATAGATGGGGTTCCCTGGACACCTGTTTCCTTCCTGTCTCCTCCAGACTGCCATGCTCTTTTGTCATTTCCTGTTTCCTCCTGGGAAGATTGTGAGTTAATTCTCGGAGAAGCCCTCTCTACCAGAAATCTGAAATCTTAGACACGGATCTCCGCTCATGAGGGTGTGGGTGACTATTCAAAAAACATTTTGATTGTGGCAGTTAGAGATGAAACTGACAGTTTGTGAATTGCCCGTTCAGTTACTTTTAGCAGCATGGCAGAGCACTGAAAGAGACATTTTCATGATTCCAAGCAGGCAGTTGAAAAACATGATAAATGTTGAGACCAGTGCTCTCATCCACTGCCATGCCACTCATTTAATGGTACATGCACAAGTTGGCCTGTGGCTTTTGTTGAGCAATTCACCATTCACATGTTTAATAGGAAGTGCATGCAGGAGGACAATTACAGGAACAGCCAAAAGGAACAAGAAGTGTGCCAAGATGTGTCTCACTGCCATACTACAGTAGCAGCAATTCAGACATGACCTCCCCTGATCTGCCTGCAGATGTATTACCAGTTCACAAGCTGAGAGGGAAGCCATAATACTAGAGTCCATGGTACATTGGGTAACCTTTAGCATCCAAGAAAAAAAAAAACAAGAACAAAGAGATGAACAGCAAAGTGTGCTTTCTTGCTTAGATAGTCACTATTGATTTGACATTTTCCCCATTTTGCAAATAACTTTGTCTCCTTATAAAATGGTTATGCAGTATCACACATCGAATTGATTAACAGTAATAAGTATTTAGCGCAAAAGTGCTCAAGCATTTGGAGAAAATCAAACATTTATTTGTCTGAAGTGTTAACTCATTTGATGTAGATGGAAGACAACAATTGCATTTCTTTCCTGCTATCATTAAAATATATGAGATATATTTGCCTCTGGTCAACTTTTTTAAAATTAAAAAATATAGATTTTCCCCTTGCTGAAAGAGTGGATAGATACAAGAAACAAACGCAGTCCAAAGTCTACTTAGGAACCAGCTGATAACTCACAGTTTTGAAAGAGTGTGCCTTCACATGCTGTACATTTTCATGCTGGGTGATACAGTGACCTTGCATTCCTGTAGTCACTATAGCACACAAATCTCCCGGGTAACACCATTTTTGAGGCTGATTAATGTTGCACTCTACAACTTACATTCAACTCACTGCTCCCAGTTTCTTTATTCTGGCAAGGCACATGAAAATGAGCCTGGCTGCACAGATAGATTTGCACCATTCTCTGAATACTATTTCATGTGTATCCTTGGTTTAACATTCACTGAGGACTGGATTTAGAAGATTTAGGGAGAGGTGTTTTCCCTGTAATGGTACAAACAACTCTGCAGCATAAAGTCAGGCGGACTCAAAAATACCACACTTTTTGTAGTTTGAAAATATGATTCTTTTTCTGTCCTGCAATAGCATTGTGACACAGGGTGTAGTGGTTTTGTTGACAATGAGACACCGTAGGGTATTTGTCCCAGAAGCAGTTTCCTGTGGCTGGCACAGTCAAGGCAGGCATTACAGCCGAGGTTTGCAGTGTGCTCATTTTCTGGTCTTGTATTTGGTCCACATGAATAATAAAGCTCCTGGCTAGGCTGACTGGGGTTACATTTGTGGTTGTGAGCAGGAGGGGTTTAAGCCAGCACTGAGCGACAGCCAGGCAGACAGGAGACAGTACTGAATACAATCAAGACAGACCCTGTGTTCATTCTTCCCCCCTTTCTCAGTATACCTCCCCCTCTCTTTTAGTTTCCCTCTTCTATACCAGGTCTTTACTCTCTTTTAATTTTCTACTTCACACAAATTTCTCTGTAAAACACACACATGCACACACACTTTCCATTTGTCTCTTGCTTCTCACCTGTCTCCATCTGTCTCCCCTCCTCTCTTCATCTTCTCTCTCCTGCACAATCTTTTTTTTTTCCATCCAAGTTTCACTCCCCTATTTTACCACCTTGATTGAATCACAGATGATTCAAAATCCACACCTACGTTGCACGCCATCGCACACAAACATCTGTACAGACTATATTTAAACCCCGTTTTATAACATCTGCGCCACCAGGGGGATGAGGAAAAGGTAAAAGTAGGCCATATATTGGCCTGCAGCAGCTTCTCAAATGAAACAAGAAAGAAACCCTGTCTTCATATAACATGCTGTCTTGACATCAATGTTGAAAGAAGAATGTACAGAGACCGGCCTTCTTATCTTTGCCCGTTCAGTCGTGAATTGCCTCAAAATCACCAAACATGTTTAATTTAACAAACAAAAGGTGGTATTGATTAAATGAGATCTACAGAGTTTGCTGATGTTCTGCCAATTGCAAAATGTTCCCTCTTCAGGCAGCTCAACGAGCTGACACACTATTCTGATGAGTTGAAGTCTTAGGTTTTATTAGTTGCTGTGAAGCGCCAAGGAGAACGTGTAAACAACATTTCATGCATATTAAACAATTAATGATGCACACATAACTTGCTTTCATACATTATTTAGATTAATTATTTTATTTAAAGGCCTTATGTTCCACGAACACAACCTCCACCCCCATATGGGACTGTCATAATTAAAACAAAAAATACATTCATGGAAGCCCCACTTTCAAAAACATATTTCAAATTAGCTTGGAAATTTTGGGCTCAAGGCATAACTCTTGACATTGCAGGGGTTTTTGTATCTGATTTGTATGCAGCTGCACTCCCACTCCCCTAATGTCATACTAGAACTATGGAATTAAAGTATTTTGTAGCTAGAAATTCCCTGAGGCTGGTCTCTCGGAACAGCTTTCAGGCAACGCCGCTGCTCTCTTTTGTGTGTCTCAGTCTATTGATGCTAATGAGATGGTAATCTGAATGAGGGTCAGCTGTGCTAAATGCCACTCACAGACATCAATCACGTCCCTTGAGAAACTGGCAGGCACAGTGCCACATTTTCAAAACTCTATTCCTTTCCAAATTGAATTCCCTCAACCGTTTAGGAGTCCATCAAATGACATAGGGCAGTGTTCATAAATTTGGAGTTTGCTCTGTTTTCTTTGCAATCTGAGTGTTTGAAGTAATGACTATAATCCAGAGAAGCTGTTGTGTTACAAATGGACAAGGCAAGCTGCAGTACGGCCTGTAGTCATGGAGAAAGCTCTCTATCCATGATGATAAACTTTCCCTGACACAGAGAACCAATACCCAAGGATACAAGAGGAGGTATCCACCACTGATGTCACCCAAGATTGATCCTTTCTCGCAGTTGAGTCGACAGTGGTAGGTAATTACACTGCAAGCAGCAACATGGCATCCATTCCCTACAAGCAACCAGGAACAATGCAACTGGCAGTTCAATTAGGGGGAGCTCTGTTTATTAGCTACAAGTTTGGGCTGTTAATTATCAGTGGCAGAGCAATGCCACTGATGCTGCCCTTGTCCTCTTGTGTTTTATGAATTATGAACAGTGAATAGTGAAAATATGTGGGGTGCTTAAAGGACCATGTTGGCACAAAGAGATGCAAAAAATAACAGTTTGTCCAAACAGGAAAAACAACAGCTGTGGTCATTTGCTCAAATGGTTAAAATGTTGCTTGTGTGTTACTGGCGAGTGATCTCTGGCGGTCACGCAATTAATCACCTGTCTCAGAAGCAAAGGCAGAAAGTAGTGTGACACTGTTATCCTGCTGCAGAAACGCTTCTCTCCACAATGTTGACACCAGAGATTGCGAATTAGGTCCCAATGTTGATATATTTTAGCCACAAAAGCAATGTTACCAAAGACATAACTTACCCAGGCCTTAACCACAGAAGCAGCAGTGTAGAGAAACCTATATGAATCATTTTTGGATCAGATATGTGTTTCATTTTGGTTGGCATTGACAATAAAAAATTTTCTTGCACTTTTAAATTAAAGTTATTTTTGTGGTCAAGATTAAGACTGGGAGCATTAAAAAATTCATTTGAAAGTACTACACGCAGTTATCATTTTTCCATGTGAGACATTATTTTTTTTGCCTCTCTGAGCCTTTTACTCACTTCAGTCTTAATCTGTAATCAGGATGTTTTGGTGAACAACTTTCCTGTTGCCTCTCAAAATACTGACTGGCTTTTGGAGGAGATTAGAGTTCAGTGTGCAAGATGTGCCAATTGACAATGTCCATGGATTTGGCAAAGATGTGCATTACATGATGTTCTTTGTCAGTGCTGCATACACAGAGCCATGATTTAAACCATGGCTGTGTTTGTAGAGAGCAGCTTGTGAAAGCCTGATAAATCCTATAAGTATCTGATCACATCTAAATCCAGAGCAATCTATTGCTAGTCCTAGCAAGGATCAAAGCAAAATACGTGGGCATCCTGGAACCCCCTTGAAACAGCAAAGAGTATGCAGTAACATACACCACACATTGTCTGGATACCATTTTAAATGTGGACAGTGATGCATTTAAATGTATTTTGGCTGGATATTTGAATGGACATGAGCGGGAGATTAAGTGGCAGGCTTACGGAGTGTTAAGTTTTGAGATGGTGACACAGCTGGGTGTTTCTTGCTACAGTGAGTTCCTGAACTACTGTGTCTGAGCCGCTATTTCATAGCTGAAATGTCCCAAAGCAAAAGAGCATCAAGCAACTGCCTCAGCCAGAGAACTGAGAGTTGCTGCAAAGACTTAAACATCAAGGCTTCAGATCCTTTTCTCCCCGCCTTTAAGAGAATTTCAAATAAGAGAATTGGTTTGTCAAAGTTACGAGAGAAAGAAAAAGACTCCAAAGGAATCCGCATAAGTCTTTGTATGTGGACTCCAGTGCAAAGAACAAACATACACAAAAGAATCCACCAACAGCAGACGCTGTTTTTATGGTATACTTTGGGCAATGCCTAATTCTCAAGAGGCAACAGAGAAAGAGAGATAAAATGTGAGGCATGATCCTGAAAACATGCCAAGAAGCAGGGCCCATTAAGCATAACTCAACCAGTGTCCTGTCTTAGCTTAGCTCTTAGCACTTGATTTTGTGTTACCATTTCTCCACTGCTAATGTCCTCCACAGATCAAGTGATCAAGGCATTTTTGGTTTTTTTTGCACACATAAGCACTAAAATCTGTCTTCCCCATAGGAGGTCAGACACTTTTTATCTGGTGCCCTTTAAAGTACATATACTCAGTGTCCATTAATCTCAACCTACAGCAGTGCGATGTCAAACGTTATGCAACTGCTGCCTTGTCACAACCATGAGGCCTGAGGAGGACTGGTATCCTTCACATTGGCTGTGACTTTGCACATGATTGATTGCATGTCTGTTTCTTGACAGCCAATATTCTGCAGGAGTGCAAGGCAGGATTGGTGTCCCCCCTCATGGATGTTCACCATTGACTGCTGAAGCATAGGTAGGAGGCAGAGGGGTTTGTATTTTAACCTTCAGAAAGCTGAATTATTGTTAAATCGCCCCATGTAGATTAGCACAGCGCTGCTCTATAGTTATAATTTGCAAACATGTATTCCACAGTGACTTCCTTTGACTGCATACATTATCTATGCATAGCTAGAATAAGAGTGAAAATACAGCACAAATATGGACAGTAAATTAAGATATTAAAATAAATTATTTTATCGCTGCAATTAGGAGACAAATGGGAGTTTGATTTTCAGAACATGGGGCCCAGGAGACAACAGCTGTTGAAGCATATGTCAGAAAAGAATACCTTTTGAAGTGTGATTTTGAGGACAGCATGTGTATTGAGTTCTTAGTATTGTCAACACACTTGTTAATCCCTGAATCAAACCAGCCCCTTTGCAACTTATCAACCCTTTGTTAGCAAATACTCCTGATCTTATTTACCTTTATTAGTTTTCTCAACTGTGGAAGCTGGAGTCGGATTCTTTTAGCACAAGCGCTGAATGAAAAGTAACTCCTTCTGTACAGTTAGTACAGTTAGTTTGTGAAAATCTACCTAATACATGCGTATTAACACCAGTACAGTGAAAGAGCAACTATTTGTTTTGACTGCTTGCAAATACATTGTGTATTATGTACTTACTATTATATTCTAAAAAAGGGGAGTGTATATTCTATTATGGTACCTGTAAAAAGCACTTCACTCTTTTTTCTTAAACAAATCTTTGCCATCCAGACTAGAGTCATAGAGTGTACTGTAGGTTGTCTGCTTTATTTATAGGATTTTGAAATGGAGCCATAGAATTAATTAATGCACACAGAAGGATTCACAAATGTATCTCGGGATTTATAAAATGTATTATAAAATATATTATGGGAGAGATAGATATATATATATATACACACACACACACACACACACACACACACACACACATATCTACTCACAAGTCAACCTCAGCATGGAGTCTGGTAGCTGCTCTCCACAGGTAAGTAATTATTCTCCTGTCGTACATGTTTGAGTTATGAAGTTGCTAAGGTAGTGATGTGGCATTTGACACTAGTGTTAGCTAACACAACAACCAGGATCATCCACTAGCTAGCTAGCTAACTAACTTAGCTCGAATTCAGCCACTTGCAGCCACGGCCACTAGTGGTGCGTTTTTTAGATTGCAAGCAGGTGTGTGCTTGTGCGCGTGCTTGAACTCATGAGCAGAATCCGACACACAGACAGACTCACTGGGAGACGGCTTCACACAACATGCTGGAAACTCAGGTAAACTCCCACTGCAACATTAAAGTAACATGTTTGTCAGCTTTAGGTTGAACATTTAGTTAGTTGAACATTTAGTTGACATGATACGTCGGCGTTAGCTCGTCTTCCAGCTTTTCAATAACTAGACCTATTTTTGTAACTTTCACAGGAGGCCCAGCAATGTCAGCATAGCTGAATTTATTGGATGATAACGAAACTGTGTGAGCTGGACTGAATATTATAAATGAGACTGTTGCACACTTTTCAGTTAGACTGCACTAAGTAACATTACTATAGTGAATGAATCTTCCACTGTGTTGTTGTCCTGCTCTGTTATGTTGCATTACTGTATATTATGTGGGTCACGTAAGTTACTGAGACGGGTGAGGAAGCTCTGTACCTGAGTATCGGTAAAGCAACAAAAAATCTATATTGTCAAAGCAAAGAGCGGCAGATCCATGCAAATGCAGCTGGCTGCGCCTGCCTTGCATCCTGTTATATAACTCGCAGTGTTGTGCAAGTTACTTCCAAAATGTAATACATTATAAATGACTAGTTACTGTCTTTTGAGAGCACTCATGGAGTACTCTCAAACGGCAAGGATTACTCATGGATTTGTTTTTCTGGTGCCAAAATGTTTCTTGGTATTGGTGAATTATAAAAAAACAAACAAAACACCAATCAATTTTGGGTTGAAATGCGTTGTAACATGCGTTACTGAGATTGTAACAGGTATAATATTACTGCTTTTTTTTTTTTTAGTAATGCATTATATTACCGCCTTACAGCTGCGGACAACAAGAAGCTAATAATTTTGGAGCAACAACACCAAAGCTCAGATCAATTATGTATGATCATATCTTGAAATCCTTGAGATTTTTAAAAAAAAAGATGATATATGGCAGGCAATCAGCACAGAGCTGGGTGAAATACCTGGTAGCTAATATGGAAAGTGTTTTACGCTATATGTGCTTAACGAGCTATCTGGCTAGCGATTCACCTTGTGTAACCAACATCACCATAGCAACCTATTGTTATATTTTGTTTGGCCATCCTGCCACTCCTTTGGACTGTTGGCTGATTAAAAAAAGGTTTCAGGGCCACAACGCTTTACAATACAGTGAGTAGATATAATTAAAGGGGCAAAAGAAAGAAGCAGACAGGAACAATGAAGTTACAATTCACTGAAGAGAAGAATAAAGCATTGAATTAGCTCACAGATCCAACACAAATCTTATTAAAATGTGTCAAATACTGTAATATTAATACCAGATTGCTATTGATTTTTTTTGGGCTTGACAAAAGCCTTTGCAATAAACCAACAAAACAATAAAACAACATATTGGACACTTTCTTTTCATCAAAGACTATTTGACAATCTACAAAGAAAATTCTCAAATCTCGCAGTGTAATCACGGAGTCATTTGTATTGATTAACCACCTAACAAGATATATTATTTGTCAACCTATGCTATGGAGCAGAAAAATTCCCATTTTACTTCACTGATTAATACACTTTAATATAGCAATTGTAAAGTGTGAAGTACTTTTATTACATCAAAGAAATGGATGAGAAGTTTACATCCACACCACTTCCCCTTCTCTTTGAAATATTTTTCTATCAACACTTCCTCTGCAGTAGGGGGCAGAAGAGACGAAGTTGTTAGCACTCCTCACAACACAACAACTCTTTCCCTGATATCTAGCCCTTCCCCAAGAGATTACAGACACAAGCGGTGGGTGGGAAGCTTTGGCATGCTGCATTCCCACTTTCTCCCTCTCCCCCCTCTTCATCTACTGACTCTCTCCTCCTGCATTCTTATTTTCTTTCCATCTCTCTCCTACATCAACTCCCCAGGGTACCAGCTTTGCTGGGGGGACATGTCTCTAAGTTCCTGCACAGGCCCTGCAGCAGTTAATTGCAGCGAGAAGATATATTATGTGCAGAGCTGCCAAAGGGACAGTGATCGCACTAACAAGCAGGAGGGTGGTGGAGTTGAGGTTGAGGAAACAGTGGCAGTGGTGGGCATCCTCTTGTGACTACAGAGCCTTTTTTTAAAACACCTTTTCAAAAACAAAAACAGGCCTTTGATGGGTATTTCTGAACATTCAGACAGACAGTGAGACAGAGGTGGTCTAATACTGCTCTTAATTTTCCTTATAAAGTTTACAGAGTGCTGCATCGGAAGAAAAGCATCTGCTCCTGTAAAGACGCCTCTGCATAAAGGTGCACCGTTCCTCTTAAGAGCTTTCCATTGCAAACACTTTTTAAATTTTTTTTTTAAATCTATGCAACTTATCTCCCTGTCTGTCTCTTCATCTCCCTTTCTAGCTTCCTCCCTCCCTCACAGAGATACAGAGCTTTCTCTCTCACGTGTTCCTGGCTCATGTTGGGTGGTGGAATGAACGCAGCGGCTGCTAACTCTGGCCCGATGCCACTCTGCTGCCAGGCTCTTGATCTTGCTCTTGCTGCCCTGCCCAGACAGGTGGTAGCCTGGGGGTGAAAGAGGGGCTGGGTTCACTGAGCTGTGTAGAAGACCTTTGGTTTGTCCTTTTGTTGACTGTGCAGACCCCTGTGCACAGGAGTGTTATCAGCTGGCTGTCGAAAACTCCCACCTACCTGCCAGAACCCCTGCCACCTCTCCACAACACTTCCCGGTGTTAATTAAAGAGGGATATGGCACAGGCGCCACAGCAAATACCATCCTCTCTGAGAGGGGTCCTATTCCCTTTGCTCTGGATCTATGATGTTAATCTATACGTTGATTTAGGACTGGTCTGCATTTTAATTCACACGGGGAGGTCTGCTACATAGATGACTTAATGAATATTAGAATATGATCAAAACACAAGGAGCACATTTGGATTTATACCTTTTCATTTATGAAGCTAAACAAACTTTTAATTGTATTTTAATGCAGTGATGCTTGTGCCGTATTTTGGGGTGCTAGTAGTCATTACAGATCACTAACCTTGAGTTTTTATGGTATTGATTTTAAGTGTTAGGGTTTCTCATAAGCATGCAAACATTCATGTGCTCATGCATGCATGATACAGCACCCTTAGCCCACACACAAACATGCACACATTCACACAGATTGAGAGCTCTGTGAAACCACCTATCAACCCATTATGCACATGGCAGAGTAAAGCGATCCACTATAAGTGCATTGATCCTCCAGGCCTCACTCAGTGTGATGAAGACCCGGGCCTAGTGATAACATTTCACAGCCAGACAAGCCACTACTACGATACAGCACATGGCTGAATGGACAGTAAGGAGCTGACTCACAGTGTTGGTAGGAAAAACAGCAGATCATGGACTGATTGAGCCGAATATCTTAAGGCAATTGAAGAGAACTTGAATAGGTCTATAAAGAAATCATACTAGCAATTCCACTGTTTCTCTAGGAGATGATTACAGGCTTGGCTGCATTGTGAAGTACATTAAGTCACACAAAATGGAAATCTCAGCATCTCTTGATATGTCTACCACTCACATTGAGGAACACACTCCGGATTCAAGGGGTGCAAGAGCGTGAGATTGAAAATGGTACGGATACTCATTGAAGGTGTCTGGAGGCAAGGCCCAAGTAAATCTGGATGATGTTTGCCTTTTATCAAAGTTGACTTTTTACTAATGCCACAGGGAGGTGGCTGCATCAAAATGCCTCTATTCTTAGGGGAAATGTGCAGTGAACTCGTCTGGCATCTCACCATAAGAAGCTATGCTGCCCTTTAAAGGAGCCACATTTATATAGTTTTTAAAAAACCCACGGCTAAGAAGATGTAAATAGCCAAGCACGACATAGTTGCTGTCACACTGCCCTTGGATGAAGAATATCTGTCTGGCAGACAGTGGCCCCTGGGTGAACCTGGCATTTGATGCAATTTGTCTGGTCCCAGGGCTGAATACACAGTAAAGGTTTATTCTTGGTCAGTGCTCCATTAGAGCGTCAGATTTGTATTCTTTGTTGTGTTGGTTTTATCTGTATAATAATGTACCTTCGTATTGAATGGTTTAATTTGGGTTTTAAGGCTTCTCAAGATGAATAAGAGTCTAAAAAAGCTTTCAATAATGTACTTCAATGTAATGTCTGTGGAGTGACAAGCACCATATAAACTACTGTAAAATGCCATCAGTGGTTTTATACATCACAGTGCAGAATCCATCTGCAGGGTATGTTGAACTTTACAGGGTGTTTTCTCCCATGCTGACAGCAACATGCAAAAGAAATCAGCTTGGACAGAATGAAGGCTTTCATACAAAAAAGGTTTCATTGAAAGATATTTTACATGATGTCACATGATATTTTATCACATTAATACATCAATCCTTATGCCTGTTGATTTACAGAAAAAAATAAATAAATAAAAATAAAAAAAATATATATAATATATTACAGCCAAACATAGCTGTGAGTGTAAATTTAACATCATAATCTTATTTGAATCATCTAATAATACTTTTTCCCTTTACCATTTTACTGTGACATTATTCCCCTGTGATCAAAGGTGCTTTGTCAGCAGTGTAGACAGCTGACACCAGGTCAGTGTGAATCAGAGTATGAAGGTAGCAATAATACATAACACATGTCTCAGTAGACATCACTCCTCCAAAGTTCCCGCACGCCAATTAGATTAAAGCTGTATATTACTTGTGGAAGGAGCACGGGGAGGAAATCAATACCACGTCTCCAAGCAGGAACCCTGAAACAACAGCCACTGTCAGTGTGAGACGTATGTCATGAGGGCCCAGTAAAGTGGGTTGCAGTGTCCATATGGGCTGTCCTGTCTCAGCCAATGTAGGTTTTTGAAGAAGCAATTACAGCAGGACTGTGGGGGAATATAATCATTTATGAGACCCTTTGCTTTTCAAGAGGACACTCAGAGTTACTGTATTGTAAGATTGGACACAATCTTCTGATATCTTTTTTTGAGCGACACCCTTTTACTAAAATTTATCAAAGGAAAATGTCTACATAAAGGGAATAATTAGACACTTTGGGAAATATGCCGATTAGCTGTCTTGCTGAGAGTTTGATAAGAAGATTGATACCACTCTCATATCTGTCCACTAAATGTGAAGCTACAGCTAGCAGCTGGTTAACTTAGCTTAGCATAAAGACTGCTAGCAAAAGCTGCCTGCCAGCACCTCTGAAGTTCACTAATGAACTTTTTATCCCTACAGAAATGGTCATTTGTGATTTCAGGGGGGATTATGTGCTGGAAACTCCTAGAAGTCACTGTGTCTGACCAAGAAATAACTAATTAAGCATATAAGATATAACATGTTAATTAGTGATCTTAAGAGGTGCCGGTATAGGTAGGATATTGTTATGTTAAGGCTAGCTATTTTTCCCCTGTTTACAGTCTTTATGCTAAGTTAAGTTAACCAGCTTCTGGATGTAGCTTTATATTTGGCAGACATGTATGAAAGTGGTATCTGATCATCTCAGCTAAATCTCAGGCAAGAAAGTGAATAAAGACATTTCCTAAATATTCCTTTAGTTTAGAAAAGAATTAAGTGAGTATATTCAGTATTGTGCAACACAAATGCAATGTAGCATAAAGGGGAAACTGGGGAGCAATGGAGACCATTGATAATGGGTTCTGAATACAACAACATCATAATTTAAACTGTATTTTTTGTGGATACATGGCTACATTCAGGATAAACAATGTAAATATCTGATTAATAAAGACCTAATGTTATGCAAGATTAATAACACTAACTAAATGCAATTATTCACCCTTCCTTTGCAGGCTTTGGAGCATGCAACACATAATCAACTACAAGGTCAATGGAGAGCTCAGGTCAGGATACAACGCAGGCATAATAGGTCTTTTATACACAAAGATTAATCAGAAACAAAGATGTGGTGACACTGCTTTATGAGTGTGTCTGCACTCAAGGAGCTCTGCTGAAACACATCTGTAATCCTAAAAGGTCGACCACAGTTTAAGGAATCTTTCACCGCTGCTCATAAATTATCCTGAGCACTGCGATGGTCTGAGCCAAAGGGGTGGCTCTAGGAACCTTTTTAAATGTATTATGCACAATGAAACAGGTAGGGGCCATCATTAAAAACAGAGCTAGCCAACATGATTAGGTCTTGGGGTAAAAAAAAAAGAGAGATCAACATCAGTTGCAAAAGCTGAGCCATGATGCATTAAAGAAGGTGGTAGAATTAGATCAGCTCTAGATGAAGAGATGAACTGAGAAAAACACTAGAGCAATCATTCATCTAGGCACAGACAACCCTTTGTCATAGATGAGTTACAGGGGCCCTTTTTGACATGGAAAAGGTAAACAGTCTTTAAAGGAGGGTAGTAAAGTAAAATAAATTAGAGAAGCATGCTTACTTGATAGACTTCACTTTGCCTGTGTCATGGGGCTGCCCCATGCCCTCATTTAAGCCAGTGGTAGCATTGGTCTTAGCATGCTAAGCTAACCTTAGCTGAGCATTAGCATAGGACTTTTAGCATTAGCATAACTTTAGCATATGGGCTAGCATCAATGGACACATGGCTTGTCATTTCATGTCATTTCATTTCAGTTCATTTAAGTACTAGTCGGAAGAGTTGAAATCAGGGTTAGATAAATACAACACATACACAGTTCATTTCAAGTCATTTATTTTAGCTCATTGGATTTACCCAAGGTCATCCAAATGTTTTATTCACCTGTTCTCATCCTCAAGCAGGGATCTGGGCCTAAGTGGCAAACCAACACAGTCTCACTCCCTACTCGTCAAATGTCTGACGCATGGTCGAGGCCCTTTGTCGTCGCTTTTTAAAGACTTGGATAGCCCTTTTGCATCAATTATTGACGTTTAGGGATCCACAGTCAAGTTAGCAACGCTTAGCAACAATAAATATGCAATATCCGGTTACACTTTCAAGATAAAACGTAACGTTTCGATACATTGCCATGTTGAAACGCGGATAATTAAAGTCGTGAAACGTTGCAGTTTCGTTTAGGCACAGAAAGTACTTGGTTGGGTTTAGGCAACAAAACTACTTGGTTAAGGTTAGGAAAAGATCATGGTTTGGGTTAAAATAGCTATGTATGTCAATTAAGACTTAAGTTAACTAACGTTAATGTCAATTTACCTCACTCGCCTAAATAACACAAACCCTGTTCTCCTGCTTCAAGGTCCGGGTTCTGGCCCTCTATCCACCCCAATCACCTCCTTACTTCATCTTTTCTCTTAAATATTATACTTGCCTTTACCATCAAAAACTTACACAACAGGGCTTCCCTCAATACGTCGAACTATGACGTCAAAGGGATCCCTAGTGCGTCACAAACTGACGATTATGGCTCTTGACCAAGCGTCCATATGTAACGACTTGGGAGTGAGACCGGGTTGGGCAAACAGGAAGTGATGGAGTGTGTAGTCATTTATAGGGGGGAAGACCCCCTATAAATGGTCCAAGTGTGAGCCAGTACGGCGAGGTGTACTGGAGTACCTTAAGTTGCTGTTTTGAGAAGCTTTTTTTAGCATGTAACATTTCATTTCCTGTTTTATATTTGATATATTGTGTATTGATGTAGTCAGAAATGTTTTGGACTGTTGAGGTAACATAATGGTGTTTAATTGATTGTCAATTAACTTTGGTTTGTCTTGTAGGAGGGGCTTCTGGTATAAAGGAAGGAGACAGAGGCTCCTCTTGGGAGAACAGCTTTGGCCTGGAAGGGCACATGTGCTACAGCCCAATAGTCAGGGCCTGATATAGGTTTTTTTATATTAGGTTGTTTAATATCAGTTTGTTATGATACAGCACACCTGCACTTTCCACGTATCTGGTGGAAAAAGAAATTGAAGCACCAGGTGAAGAAGTCCATGTCCATGTCTCTTCTTTCCACCATGGGGCTAAACATTACAGCCTGTATAATGCATTATCAATAAGAGACAATTAGCATGCTAAAGATAAGAACAGGAAATTAGTGAGCAGACAAAGAAGTTGATAATAGAAGTATGTTATGGAGACAGTGGCGGTGAATATCAGATGTTGATGGATGTTTCAGAAGCTTTTGACAGTGAGACTACAGGATATTCCACCAATCATACAGATGCACCATACATGTGTATGATTGGTGGCATAAAATGGTCAAATTATCAATAAACATAGTTTAATAGGAGGAAATTAAACATTTCCCTCCCCTGTTTCCCAAAACTCATTACAAGTTAAGCCTTGTGGCATCCCTTACTTGAAAGTGAAAAACCTCAATTGTACAAGTGAAGAGACGTTTTAGCACTCAATTGGGTGAAATAAACTCCCTGGCTTTCATGATTGAATCCTCTTTTATTGGATTTTGCCTAAAGAACAAAAACAAATTCGAGCTAAAAAATGGGAGCCTGAGTCTTGTACTCTAGCTTAGTGTACCAGCTGTAGCTGCACCTAAACGACAGATTGAGGGTTATGCATGTGACAAACAAAGGAAAATACCAAAGGGAGAGACAGGTGGTTTGGTGCCTTATTCTTCAGGGTCTCCAGACAGCTTTGCAGGATCTGCCCTGGATAAACAAATGAGCACATTTACAGACTGATTCAGTTATGCCGCGCCTCAAAACAACATGTCAGGTCATTCCTGCTTGTAAAAACAATCACCCTCTTCAGTTCCAAGCAGAATTGCACAGTATACTCAGTATACATTCAGAGTTTATATAGTATACTTACTTGTATACAACATCCATTGAGAATGTCAATACATACTGTATGTACCATCTGGCTGCTACAGTTTCCTTCAGGGAAAAGCTTTCATCTCTTAAATGCACTGCTCTCCATCATCTGTCTGGGAGGTTTGGTTCGACATTGACAGCCGGACCATTGCACCACGTCAACTTGCCAAAACCTTCACGTGGCTGCCGCTGTAGCAATGTTTTTTTATTCTGTCTGGGGCAGACACAAACTTGGATACAGCCTCCAGACATCAGACTTCTTTTCAGCACCATGTGCTGTAAAATCAGCTACTTTCTATGCAATGAATCAACAGCACACAAGGACACAAGTCTGGTTGTGAAACAAAAAGCTAGTCAGCCATCCCACACGACAATGAAATAGATCGAAGGCACGGAGAAGAATGGTGCTCATAAAATAGTTGGTTTAATGAAACTTTAAGGATTGGGGCCTATCAGCATACCCTGGCCTGATTATCTTGAATGCACTGCATCTGTTGGGTACATTTCAATGCTCAAAACTCCAGTGTTGTTGAAAATTTATATGCAGAGAGGAACGGTTATAGTATTCCCAGCAGCATGTCTAAAGTCTGAAATTTATTTCAGATCCACCAGAACTTTAATGTGCTT